AACAACATGCATGCATATAACACTCCTATTCTGATCATTTACTATTATGGTTTTAGCTGTGCAATGTGACGTGATATCCTCGTGTCTCGTAGCTGTACATTTGGGGTGAAAATTATGAATCAGTAAGACTGCTCTACTAACAAACTACTCACAGTTACAGCTGTTGATTTTGTTCGATCCATGGACAGTTTGGACGATGCTCTCTATTACAAAACAGCCCGCTACACAATGTTAACAATACTCAGTCCAATATGGCTTGGACTATATTGGGTCATATGATGGACCTAAAATTCCGATTAAACACTGATATCTTGTTAATCAGTTCTATATCAGATGCAAAAAACTGACGTTTAAAATTCACTTGCGGCTTGAATCTACACATATCCCGATAAAACATGCACTTTCCCTCTATAAACAACACGTAAAGGGGCGGAGTAGCGATGCACTATAGGGTTTTCACCGTATATTCATTTTCGCGAGTTAGAGCATAATGTRTTGATTTCTTTAATGTTTTCTTTGTTATTATAGGCTCAGGGAGGAAAACATGCTTTTAAAGGTACAGATTATTTTTATTTTGAAATCGGTTTAAAATTTTTTAACTTTTTCTGATCTTAGATAATTTATGACTTATATTTTGATGATTACAGAATGAATTAAAAGCAAAAGCTGACGAGATTAAGATTCATCAAAATTATTCTAAGGTTATATGCCTGTATATGATAGAATAGAGAAATGGGAAATACTTCTCCCGGTTTTGCAGTTTAAACGCGCGTAACAGCGGCTTGGGTTATTCCTTAAACCAATACGTTTTAATAATAGATAATTTAAGTAACAAAATTGCAATGAGTGGAGATACGMCGGCCATTTTCCGGGGCTATAATGATTTTTTATGCATATGCAAGTGTCACTAGTACAATATTGTATTCGATCAATGTCAGGGTCTATGATACCGTTTTATGTCTTTTTATAATATCCATATCTCTTAACAATTKTTATCATGAATTGAATATGATAGGTAAAAAATGCTTTTTACAATAAGCCTCCGCCAAAGTGGCCRTCTTTTTGTAAGTTTTGTGCTAAACGAATTTTAATTAAAATTAATTGAATTTGTACAATCAATTTTTGAATTCATGATAATGACCACATGTTTTTATAAAGTCTTCAATTTCGCAACTTATAGAGGTCTTYTTAGTCGGCCATGCATAAATTTCTAACTTCTGAATATCTTCGATGTTTTTAATAGTATTCCTCGATTTTTTATTTTAATATTTTGTTGAATTTATTCATTTGATGTTTTTTTATTCTTTGTTTTTTTTTTAACAATTGTAATGATTACACGATTACATGTATTTATGATATTTATGGTTAAGAACTGTTTCCTGTCAAATCACTCTCTACTATCTTTGTGCAAATTGAACGATGACAAGCTGCAGTWYCGGAAATACATTCAATGCCCATAGGCAAAAAATGTCATATCAGTTATCAAGCTTTTCCTTTTGTAAGTACCAATGTTT